TTAAGGAGTCACCTCTTAAAAACGTTTCTCTATTGAAAGAACTGATCACCTGGTGATTACTGTTAAACATTTAAACATTACAGTTAAACATTAAATTATGAGCTTTTAACCAATGTTCAGTAATACATAAAACATGAATATTGTTGTTAAGAACAATTCAATTTCTAGATTTTACTTCACCAGGTGTAAACAATTTTTATTATCATTTTGTGGAGTTATACAATTGCAACTATTAAGGATTTGCAAGCTACATTCTAAATTATTTAAATTATTATAACTGCTAGAGATTACCTCTATTGTCTCGTTTTCTAATATAAACTACTTGGAACGGGTTCCAAATTGCATGTCACATCATTATGCTGCTCAATCGGAGCAGACGTGTGGGTAGCCAAGTCCTTGGCTGAGTTAAATAATAAGATAGCACATTTGCTATCTGTCTTAAATATATTTTTTTTATAGGATAGGGTGACAAACGAGCACACAGTCCACCTGATGGTAAGTGGTTGCTGCGGCCCATAGACATCTACATCTATCTTCCATTACAAATTAAATGCAGATGCGTTGTCACCCGTAGCTGAGATGGAATGCCCATTCCAGTAAAAAGGGTCCTTCCCCACCACGAAATACAGCAGCATTAAGCTACTATTTCACGGGTATTCTGTAGAGCGTGGTCCTTCCCCGGTCGAGCCGACCCACGTCACAACTATACTACTAATATAATTGCAGCATGGCTCTACCACGTATAAATATTTGGATAGGTAATACCTATTTGTAGTCAAAAATTTCTTAATTAAAATATTAATGCCTATTAAATTAATGCTATTATTATAATAATTACAATTAAATGTCAAATTTAGATTATTGTTACATGGCAAATTATTTATTAATAAATTTAAATCATATCTTATTTTATTCTCCTGTGGCCAAACCTATATGTAAGGCAATGTAAACTAGATAATTTCATGTACATTTAAAGTATTGAGGTAATCAATATATTTTAATAATTGATTTTTATTTACATTGTCTCTTCTCCAGAATTATTAATGTGCTATTAGGACAAAACTTACTAGTTAAATATTTATTCATTATATGACTAAAGGATGCTCCAGGCATACAATAATTACTAATCACTTGTCCTTTTAAATGGTTATTTAACATAATGCCCAAATTTTACCTATGTCATCACAATACATAATAACTTTATGTTTTTTAATATTTAAATTACTTTTTAAATTTTTGTTCTTTGTTATGGCACCGTCGTAGAGTGTGGGTGATAATAAGAAGTTATTACTATTTACACATATTGTCCCCAATGAAAATGGTATGGAGCGCTGATTCTCACCCTAATGTTTTATTAAGGAGTCAAAGCGCTCCTCATTGTATTTACATGACTTTACCAGATCATTCATGGCCAATATGTGTTCTTTTATCTCAACCTGAGCCGATTCATATTTATTTGAGATAATTTGTAAGGAGTTTTTAAGCGAGAAAACTTCTGAATTGAGACACTTTATTTCAGTCTTATAACAGTTTTTCATATTTTCCACCTCAATTGAATATAATTTAAGTTTATTAATTAATTCATGCTTTTACTTACATATATTTACATAATTTTTTATATTAATTTTAGTTTTAATAATCTTTTGCAATATAATAACATATATATAAATTTTTATATATTTATAAAATTTTTTTCTACTGCATGTAATTCTTTCTGCTGTTCTTGATGTGACAAAATCATCACCAGTCAAATCGATTGTTGTGGAGGGTTGCAATGTTTTTGAAAATTTACATTCTATGAGTTCATTGAACAGACTTTGAGTTTGGGATACTTTCAATTCATCTGAGTATTGTTTAAATTGAACAATCTGATCATTAGCCTCACTTAACTGTTACTGAAATGCAGCAATTAATATGAGGGATCCCTCATATTCCTTGCTGCATCGGTTAATTTCATACACTGCTCCCTGAAGCTGATCCCTTTCTTTTAAAACATTTGTAAAGTCTTTATGCAACTTAACCATATCACTTTTTAGTTGAGTATTTTTGGCAATTGTATTTATTATTTCCTTTTCGTTGTCATCCCTTTCTTTAAGCAACAGCTCACACTGCTCCTTTGACGCCTTAAGTTCCAGAAGTGCCATTTGAAGTTGGTTCTCCATTTGGCGCGTTTTGGCGTTGCGTGTATTTATTTTATTATTATGTGTAAATAGCAAAAGAAAACAAAGAAAGAAAACCGAAGAAACAGAGTAAGCTAATATCTAGATCTATGGGTCTACTTACAGATCTCAAATTAAATTATCAGGTAAATAATTCAAATTGAAATCCGAAACAGCACTTATTTAAAAGGTAAATATTAAAGGGATAACAAGAATTACACTAACTTACAGAAAGTTCAAACGACGTTCATTACAGCTGTCACTTTTAGTTGAAACACAAAATACTATTTAATTAAAATACTTATGACTTTTATTTATTTTACAAACACAATTAAGTCTTATTTAACAACTGTAACTAGAAATTGAGGTGGATATTATCAATTTACAATAAATAATTTTATAAAATAGTTGGGAGCTATTATTTTACAACTTCTCATTGGGGTTGCCACAGAGAAAAAATCTCTATAATAATATTTATACTCATAGATGCCATTCACACATCACCAGGAGGTATATGATGTGTTCATGTCCATCTTATTATTATTGCGCTCAGGTGAAATGGGCCAATGGGAACACTTAACTATTTTTTTTAATCAAAATAAACGTTTTTATTAGTTTTATACAATTTAAGATATCTGTCAGAACCAACATTTTGTTTCATTTTAATCTAATAAATACAATTCTTTGATATCTTATTATATTATACTAGTAACAGGTCTAATTATAAAGCAATTAGCTGATAGCGTGTAAAACGAACCTTGATAACGATGCAATTTTCTACCGTTTTAAGCAAATTTTAAGATTTTAAGAAATAATTTCAGAAGTATTTTAAATTTTATATAATATTCAAAGAAATTTATTTTTAAAGTTTGATTTTAAACGTTTTTAAATTAATTTATAAAATGTACCTTATAGTGGCGATGTAAGAATATACAATATCCCGTATCGTCCCGTGGGCATTGCAAGAGGTGATGGAGGGAAACAAACCAGGAGATGGGCAGCAGCGTCTTCCTAATAATAGCTGGAACTAAAAAAGAAAAAAAAAACTGCGGATGCCAACCCGCCTGCCAAGTAAAGCAACTATTGAATAAAATTATTTTTACGGATTTTATCGCGTTTAAAAATACTTCTTTTTAATTCCCAGCATTTCGAGTGCTTTACAGCACCCATGACCGCGATGTTTGACGTCCTGTCAGTTAGCCCGGATACCTTCAGTTTTTGAATATTAAGTTTTGGTCCGATCTACGCAGAACAAAAAGAAAAGAAGAAGAAAGAGAAAAGAAGCTTACAGTATCTCGAAGTCTTGCAGTGGTATGCATGGGTTTGGATTTAATTTTGATAGATGTAAGATTTCAAGGAGATAGCTGCTACCATCCATCTTCTCTATTGAAATAAGGATTTTTCTAGAATTTCAATACCTTTTAACAGTGGTAACAGTTGAGGGGAAACGTGAAGTAGAGATTTACCTCTGCGTTTCGCTTGGTAATTGCAGGTGGCCGAAGGCTCAATTCCCCTTCCCCCTCCCTTAACATGGTAGTGAAATCTAGTAAAAAACTACCCCAGGAGTGTAACAGCACCCCTGGTGATGGAAAATCCCTCGCTGAGAATTCAAGACCAAGCTATCATACTATTCCTAAGCGTGGGTGCTCATGCTGCCCTGCGTGTTCTGGGGGGGAGGGGAAGGGAGTTTAACTCCGCTACTGACTGAAACTGCTCCTGGCAAGCGGAGCAACAAGACCAAGGCAACCCCTGTCACACTATCCGAGAATTTTTGCAACATCGGTGGACTTCTTTCTAGCCTTAACGCTGTCCACTACCATCTGAAGACGGCGAATCCAAATGCTACAGCGGATCCCATCCCATCTGGCCATCCAGAGGTGTGAGTATTCCATGTCGGATGTGTGGTTTACACAGGGCATGAGCAAGAACTCCTCTCCCTGTACATCAGCAAGTCGAGTGGGACTGATGGAGTCCCTCCCATTGTGCTAAAGACTGAGTTGGCACCGGTTTGAACGCGTCTTTTCCGGTATTCCAACACTCAAGTCGTGGCCCAAAATTCATAGAAGATGTCCTTGGTCACCCAATTGCTAAAAACTCATCCCTACTAGCCCCTAATTTTAATCTAGGATAGATATAGATGTCTTCAGATCACATCATACATTTCTCTTCAGGAGGACTGTTTGCTGGTTGTTTATCCTAATTTCACAAAAAATAAAGCCTCTACTTTTTCTTTGTTTTTATATTGGACCACCCTTGAACCTATTAAAAAGAATAATTTTAATCAAATAATTTTATTTTTAATACGTAATAAAGTTACATGCGTAGAATGTAGAACCTCGTCGTTATTATAAATTGGTTAAAACAGCATTGACGACCTATCTCTACTCTAGACACCATGGCAATCACTACAATCTAAAACACATGCCACAATGCTTTCAACACGTAAGTAAAGCATCATGAGAAATACTCTCCAATAACTAACCGCCATACTCACTCAACTTCTTCATGTGGATCTTAGCTAATTAATTTTCCCCTAATTTTTAGGAGAAATATCCATCCAATACTTAATAATTATTGTTGCGAGAAAATATTATCTCTTATTTACGGTACAGTTAAACAAAACAAAGCACCTTAGTGCTGCTCTGTTTTACTTTTAATTCATATCCAGTTTACGGTGGCAGTAACTCATAGGGTATCACACTCGGTCCAGTAATGGTATCTATTTGTTCGCTGTCATACTATGCAACTGTACTTTGTTAACGTTTTTGTAACATTTTTCACTATATTTTCAACATTTTTCATAGTCGTTTTCACATGTTTTCTAATAAGTTAACGATCTGTATGGAAGTAAGTATAATCTTTTAACAAGAACATTTTTATGTGCTACTAATAGTAAGTAATACTAGCTATTACCCGCTCGCTTCGCTAATTTAAGTTAAATTTAATTTATAATTGTCATAAAATTATGCTTTAAATTATTCTTTAAATATATTCAATCCTTTTTACTATAAATTCTTGACTTTTTATTAAGTCAAAGTCTATAAAATATGTTTACTCTCCGTCGAAATTCCATGCCATGGCTTCAATAAGTCCTTATTGCGGAGGAACCCTGTGTGAAATAGCGGCAAGAAATTCAATGTCTACTATCTATCTCCCAACAGTTCCAATGTAACCTTATAAAATGTATACATAATTATTAAAAAAGTCTCAGGAAACTCATTATGTGTACGTGTTTTTATCTTACAAAAAGTCACATCATTTATATTTTTCCATAGGAATGCTTATATGTGCTTTAAAGTTGTGCTGAGGCACGTCAGTAATATGACAAAAAATATAGAATCAATATAGCTCCACCAAGATAAAAAAACTTACAGTAACTAAGAAGGAATAGCTCAAGGCTGTTTTACTAGCTGCTTTTCGGGGTTTCAATCCTGGAGCGGAATAAAAGCTGTTACTGGGTTTTCCTCTCAAGAAATTCTCACCAGCAGCTTGGAGTAGGGAAGATGGCGGTGTTTCATTTTTCTCCGTTCGTGTCGAATTGCGTTACATTATGATAGAGAGTGCATCTTAGCTCACTCATATACACGGGTGCAAAATCCTTTCCTGCGCAGTTGGCAAATCTTCGTCGAAACTGGCCTCCGTGATTCAAATTCGGGCTAGAAGATATTAATGCTATGTCTTACCTTTCAAGCCAAAACACCAAAGTACGTGAACTGCTGTTTGGCAACAGAAAACACGAAAGATAAGAGGTAATCGATATGTTTAGATATTGTAAGACCGTTAATTAAGCCAAGGTAAAAAGATATAAAGGCCCCATTAGAAGGTGATACATCTAGTAACAAGTGTAAAATACTCAGAAATGTGATGACATGTAACGGAAAAAGTTGTAAAATGTACGTTATCAGCTTATCGCTTAGGCCTCTGCCTCATTAAGATGCCATGGCGACGTAGCCGGCTACGTCTCCAAGCAGTTAATATTGAAATGTATGTTACCTAACTCACTTGGCGACGGTGTGGCAACGTCGCCAATTTGGAAGCGTAGCCACAAGCGACAGCTCCCTACGTGACTTCTGGCTACTCTGGCGGCCTGGCGACGTTGCCACTATAATTTACGCGTGTAAACTGCACCTCCCTCACTCAGTCGCCAGTAAGCCGCCATTTTGGACGCTCGCTCAAATAGTTATTTGTATTTGATGCGAAAAAAATGAGTTTTGATACTGAAAAATTTATTACAGAAATTCATAACCGTCCTTGTTTATGGGATAATTCATCAAATGATTATTCCGATCGTAACTTAAAAATTAAAGGTTGGGACGAAATAGTAAACATATTTAAAGAAAAAGACGAAATGACAAACCAAGAAAAAAAAAACAACTAGGTAAGTGAGTGTGCTTTTATTAAATTTTATTTATTTATACATACTTGTCTTGCCATGGTAATGGATCATCAGTTACAAAATAATCTGCTATTTTGTCTCGAACTGTGAGTGCGTTCTTCCTCCTCTATGTACCTGTTCAAACAGTGCCACAATAAAAGTGAATTGCAACAGTCCTTACAATCGCTTTTGCCAAATCTATATCTACATTCATTGGCCTGTGAAAAAACCGCCACTTGTTATATAAAATGCCAAATGTACATTCGATATATCGGCGTGCTCTTGATAATCGGTAGTTGAATATTTTTTGCTTGTAATTAAGATTGTGTCCTCCGTATGGTCTCACGAGGTTTTCGTGTAACTCAAAAGCTTCATCTCCTATTGTTGGAAATTGTCCAGTTTTCTGTCAATGGGTTTGCCGCAGGAACATGTAGAAATTGGTTAATGAGATTATTGTATAAAGCACTTTTTTTATATATTGCTGAATTGCTGCTTTTCCCATTCGCTCCAACGTCTATATATAGAAAATTGCAAAGCAAGTAATACGATTGAAAAATAATGGTTATAATTAAAATATAGTGATCCAGTATGCATCGGTTTAATAACTCTCAGGTGTTCCCGTCAATGGCGCCGATGCAATGGGGGAAGTTCGCGATTGTTTTAAATCCTCTTGCAACCTTTTCTCAATCAACTTCTGTCTTTGGAAGATCTATGAATTGTTCTTGATATTGGCATATAGCACTACACACTTCTCTAATTATTGTGCAAACTGCTATATGACCGAGTCTGTAGTTGTAGTAAAGTTCCATGAGTGAACATCCTGACGAAAAATACCTAGAAGAAAAGATAACATCATTATCTATAAGGGTTTTTCTTGATTACGCGTATACTAAACTTATTTACTATTTTCAGCTGATAATTTGCAAAAAAGATGGAAGAGTATCCGTGGTTTCTTTACACGAGAACTGAACCTAAACTAATCTTTGAAGTCCGGGTCTGACCGTGGACCACGTAAAAGCGAATATATATTTTTAAACAACTTCTGTTTTTACAGAAGATTGTTGCGTTAAGAGAGCCTGAAGTTGTGGCATCAAAAGAGTCCAAAGCTACAGATCCTGATATTGAAGCTACAGATCCTCATCCTGAAAAAGACTTGCAAGAAGGCAGACAAGTGGGAAGTTGTCCGAAAAGAATGAAAACAAAACAGAAGACTGCACCTGAAGATGACAAATTTTTAGAAGCACTTAACAAATCCATAAAAAGTAGAGAACAACATGAGCTTGGAAGTCAAGATGAAGACAGTTTATTCATGCTGTCTTTAGTAAGCACCTTAAAAAAGTGCCTCCTGCGAAAAATAGCAACCAAAATAAAAATAATGACAATTCTTGAAGAAGCTCCCCGCTCTATGCCCAACATTGATGACAGGCATATGCCATCAAAGCTATTGGTCACAACAAACAGAACCGACGCCTTCTCGAAGTTATCACCCTGGATATTCTACTGTTCGCGAAGAAACCCTATCAATGATGGAATACAACACTGAGTCTTTCTTCTGTTTTTATATATATATATATATATATATATATATATATATATATATATATATATATATATATATATACATATATATATACATATGTATATATATACGGGCGGTCCCATAATGAATTGGCCTAACTATGAACCATTGAAGGAAATGAAACGAAACCAATTTTATTTTTCAATATAATCACCATGAATACTAGCACACTTCTGACATCTGTGAATCAACATCTCTAAACCTTTATAAAAATAATCACATTTTTTTATCCTCAAAATGACTGAAGACGGCCGCCTGCAACTCTTCATCGCTTGAAAATTTTCTTCCTCTTAAGTCCCGCTTTAAATTTGGAAATAAATAATAGTCGGACGGGGCCATGTCTGGACTGTAAGGTGGATGTTGAACTTCTGTGAACCCGCATTGACGAACTGCATCCTTCGAAACACCAGCGGTATGAACAGGGGCGTTGTCATGGAGCAACAGGACACCTTTAGACAGCTTGCTTCTTCGTTTTTCCTTTATCTTGTCTCGTAATTTATATATTAAAGAAGCATAATATTCGCCGTTCACGACTGTATTACGTTCTTTAAAATCCACCATCAAAATGCCTTGAAAATCCCAAAATATTGTGCACATCAGTTTTTTAGTCGATTGTTGCACCTTTGCCTTTCTAGGGGGCTTTTCACCCTTATAACGCCATTCCATTGACTCGCGCTTTCTTTGTGGATCATAATACAAGATCATAGTTTCATCACCAGTCACTAGCCGCTCGATCACAGTCTTTGGATTTTCGCCACAAAGATCCAAAAACTCCGAAGCGCAGCGCACACTTTCCTGTCTCTGTACCGCTGAAAGAAGTTTCGGTACCCATCTTGCACTCACTTTTTTTCATGTGAAGATGTTCATGGATCGCGCGATGAACGGTACTCTTAGAGAGCCCAAGCCTTGCTGCAATTTCTCTAATCTTCAAACGGCGGTCACTCAGAACCTCCTCTTCGATAAGAGCAATCGTTTCGGGAGTGAGCACTTCCACAGGTCGACCGTCGTGGCCAAAGTCTTCGACGGTTTCTCTCCCGAGGCGAAACTCTTTCACCCAATTTTTCACTGTGCTATAGGAGGGGGCAGACTCCTTATACACGCCATCTAATCGTTCTTTTATTTGGGCAGGGGATAAACCTTCTTTAAACAGAAACTTTATGACACTTCGATACTCAGTTTTCGACATTTTGAAAAAATACGCGACTCTCGTTATTCAAATGCCTGTTAAACTAAGACTAAGCATTTCATGTCGATGCATGTTTCTTATATTAAGTGCACGATAAACGTACTATTTAATGCAACACAACATGTAGCGACATGTCGCGTTGAACTATATCAGGCCAGTTCATTATGGGACCGCCTGGTATATATATGATTAACTTTAAATGTTTAATTTTCATAAATTTGATTAAAATACTGCTTACCTTTCTAAACATCGTATCCTGTTTAGTTAAATAATTTCTACATAAATTTAATAATTCGTCAAAAGATGCTATTGAAATTCTCGTACAATTGAAAATCTTTTCAGGATATTTTCGTAAATCTCCATATAGTTTTAAAAAAACACCACTTCGGCTTCGATCGGATATAAAGGGATGTACCAATAGTTTCCTTTTTTTCTTCTTTTCTTTTTCCATTTTTCTGCGACGTACATAATAAAGAAAAAGTGCAATTTCTTCTACGTCCATTCCTGACGACGTAAATGAACTGACTGTCGAGACGCCATGGCCACTCGACATGGCGACCTTCGGTTGCCAAAAGTAGCCAGACTTGCGACGCCGGCGACGTCGCCATGGCGGCCTAATTAGGGTAGAGCTCTTACCTACGTAAATACTATGTGCAATAATATATGTTATTTAACATATTGCGAAAATAAAAGAAGAATTAAGAGTTGATAGTTTTGATAATTAACGTGTGATTTTTGTTATGGTAGAAGTTGTGCTATCATTCATCGCACGCACTTGCGGAAAATATCTATATAGACGTCCGAGTTAAATAAGTATGATAGTTTGAAGTGTCTATCATAATAAATGAACATAAATAAGTAAAGCACAATTCTATCAAACATCAAAACGGTTTAACACCTAAAGAGAAAATGGTTTCTCCTTGGGTAAACTTGGGGGTTGTATGGTAATAAGGTAATTATACATTCCTATTCATTCTTATCTCGAAGACTCATACGTTACAAACTCAGGGAAATACACCTGTATTTCTCTGAGTTGAGTTGGGTTGTGGAACACTCTTCCATTTGTTTGTTGTTCCCGTTGAACGACTCAACAAACCGTTTCATAATCAACATAAATACATCTTTTCATAAGTTTTCTGCTGCACATAGGCCTCCCCCAAGGAATACTACAAAGCACAGTCCTAAGCCAGCTGCATCCTTCGACTTCCTGCACGTTTTATCTGGTCGTCACTCTATCTGCTGACCATTTCCTGTTTCATTTCCCTCGCTGGCCCATTCCGACACCCACGAGATGTTTTGGATTCTCTTACGCCGGCACCTCACGGCGAAAACAGATCCTTTCTTGGAATATATTATTCTAAATGTTATGTAATGTATGTGAATATAATATGTAATTCAAATTAGAAAATTAATCTAAACGTTTACTTATCAAAAAATGTTCGGATTAAAATTGCAAAGTTGTACTAAATATCCCGAACAAAGTTCTACCGCAAAAGGGAAAGAGATTTAGAAAACCAATGAAGTGGTTGGAACAGCCATCGTTTAACTAAATATAGTTTAATTACATGTATATAACCTAAAGAACTATGGATATGGTCTAACAACCTGATTCACTGGGGAACATAGCAATCACCCGTAGATTAATAGGAGTGATTAGTCATAGTATCCACGCCTGAGTAGGCAACTGCACTTTTTATAATGTTGTTATCTGGAAGAGTGAGCTGTCCATCTGTTTAAGTTTTCAACTGTTGCTTATTATGACACCCACGGGACGAGATGGGGCAGTGGATATTTTTACAACGTTACTACCTCGTCAGAGTATATGTATCCTGTGGCCACTACACTGTTAATCTTTTAACCTCTTATTCCTTACCCTACATATAATTTTATTACTCAAAGTCGATATTTCCATTCTTGAGTCTATCAAAAATTGGCTCAAGAATGTTTGAATATAAAAATTATTAGCTATGTGCCACTTTTTTTTGCGCAAACCCTTACATGTTTGTGTAAGTGATACTCTTTTAATTATTTTTTTACTTCGGTTTGTTTGCCTACGTCAGTTGAAAGTGCACGTTAATGAGTTGTCTAACGGCCGTCCGAACAGGGGTGGCGGACCCTCGGCTCTGATGGATAACTCGTAGCGTTCGATGATCTGGGCGGTGAGAACCGCCCAGGGACACGGGTGTAAGGTGTGTGTTCATTTATTGCCTAAGCACATTTTAAACAGAGCAACATATTTTAACGGGTAAACAAAAAGATAATCACATTTTATTAAGATATTGCAGCCATTATGAACTAATGTATAAAATAATGATTTTTAACAGATTACAGAGAGACGCATGTTATTCAAATGCGTTTGATAACTTAAGGAAATATCTTTCTTTTCATACCTGCCTAGTGATTCAAAATGTAAATCTTTAGATGTTCGATTTCAACGAAATCAAAATCTCTCGTAAATCATGAAGTCCACAAAACAAAATCTGAGTCAAACAAGCAGATACAGATCCAAAGTCCAAATAAAAGAACTAAATCGCCAAATAAATCCAAAAGAAACACAATAAAGGCGTTCAAGATTTCATAACTACGTGAACAATCTCGGAATAAACAAAAAATAACACACTACCTACCCTTTCATGACTCAAGTCACTTGTAAGAAATGACATTTGACATATAATTTTATGACTGGAAGGACGCCATCTTGTAAAATCGTCAAACAGTGGCTGCGTTTGGCAGAAAATGCGCTAGGAAGCGCTTGTGCAAAATGGCAAAATTAAACACTTTTCGGCCAGGACACGTTTTCTAACTTCAGTAGCGCTGACACAATCCGCCATTTTGCTTATTTACTTTGTTCGTTTTGAAGTGGAGTTATAAGTTGTTTTGTGCAATATTAGTTTCAAGTAATATAATGACATGAATAAAAATATTATACGAGTACATGTTATTAAAAATCAATGATTGGTAAGTTTTTAACCTTTTATGTTCGAAAAGCGACTTTATTCGATACGCCGGTTGGTTCGCGACGTAAAATGGCGGGAATTGCAAATTTTTTGCTAACTTGCAAATTTTGCTATATTTTCACTTTGTGACAACATTTATGGATAAAACTTACAGGGATTCTTATTGAATGTAAAAAAAATATTTTTAGTTGCTAGAAATTGTAATAAAATTCATAAATTACCCTTTATAACATAGTAGTTGTAGATACTTCACTTTTAGTCTAAAATTACTACTAATTTGAATTCTACATTTTTTTTATATAGGATAGGGTGACAAAAGAGCACACAGTCCACCTGATGGTAAGTGGTTGCTGTGGCCCATAGACATCTAAATCTATCCTTGATTACGAATCAAAATGCAGATGCGTTGTCACCCGTGAGGACTAAGATGGAATGCCTCGTTTCCAGTAAAAAGGGTCTCTCTCCTCTCTCTACACTCGCCATACGAAATACAGCAGCATTAAGCCACTATTTCACGCTGGTATTCTGTGAGAGCGTGGTCCTTCCCCGGTCGAGCCGACCCATTCGTGCTACAACTATACTACTAATATAACTGCAGCATGGCTCTACCACGTATAAAACTACATGTTTGTTTTTGGAGAAATCTATATGAAAATGTTTGGAAATACGTATATTTTTATGTTTTGTGTTTCTATTCGTTACTCATACCAAAATATAAAAAATAAAATTATAAAAAATAACGAAATTAATTTTTATCTGTATGAGATTTCCGAATAATATTTCAATTATATTTTTGTGTGAATTTGAAATAAATATAACGT